CCGATTTATGCCGGCTCTGTTGGCTTATTGTTCTTGGTATTGTTGTCCCTGCTTTTTGGCCCGAAGGCGAAACATTGACGTTGGCTTCGCCTTCCTTTCCAGGGAGTGAGTGTTCCCTTGACAAAATGTCTAATTTCCGTGCAGGAAAGCAAGAAATTACTTTACGGTTTGTTAATAGCGGGCGGCCTCTCCAAAAACCAGCAGCGATCCTTGGGCTTTGTGCGTATCCTGTTGTCCGCGTTGTCTGACTTGGCCAAGTGGGCCGAGTTGGCTTAAACGCTGCGACATATTTTGCCGCGCCCGCCGGCCAACTAAGAGAGCCATTTGGCTAGCCGTGCCGCGTTTAATGGGAATTTAAACGGTAACAATTACAGCTTCTTCCAGCTGGATGGGGCAAATACCCACCTGTCAAGTCAATGAAACTTTCGCTGCGCTATTGAAATTTTCGGCGTGTGCGCCCATAATGACACCTGCTTTTTGTGTCCTGGAGTCCTGCGCTTGTGGTCCAAAAACCTAACGATCTCGGCAGCGGAAATGCCCGCCCACGATGTACCTACAATTTCATCATCTTGTTGAACCTGGCATTTTTCTGTTGCCTCTTCAATGCCCCACGTGTGCTTTTGTTCGCGGTTGTTTTTCTGGTCTTAGTTATTCGTATTGGCGCATGTAAAAGCTATGATAACAGCGGCTAGACAGAGCGTCTATAATAACAAGCGTCTTCTCGTTTTCATGGCAATGCGGCAGCCGAAAGATGAATACTTGCTCAAAGTTATAAACTCAATGGTGCTTGCCTAATATTGTTTTATTTTCATTTACATAATTATATTTCACTTGGTGTATTCTTAAAGTATCTAATAGCTGTCGGACCACAGAAATCCAAATTATCTGTGTAGCATCCCCGATCCCGATCCTGTTGGCACCCACTTGGTGGTTTGTCTGCGGCCTGCATTTTTCGCCCTTTGCGACGATACAAGTTCTTGCATTTCCCACATTTTTTTGTGTATTTGTCGCCGCTTTCCCCTTCGCCCCTCGGCTGTTGGGAAATTTTGCGCATTTTGTTTTCGCCAGAAAAAGCTCCTGTGGCCTAAGTCCGCTTGTATTTGCCAATTTTGTGTGCTGCCCACAACAAGGACATCAACAGCAGTAGCGACAGCAGCTAGGGAAGCAAACAGGAGCGGCAGAACTGCAAGGACCCTCTGGCTAGAGGGCAGGACGAGGCGAAACTAATTTCTTCCCGGGATTTTGGCTTCTTTTGTATCGCTTCGGTGTTCCTGTGTGTGCGTGGCTCGCGGCAGAGTTAAGTTTTTGCCATTGTTGTAGGGGTTTACTCCAGTTTTTCCTTGTTTGCCATTGCTGTTGGCTAGCTTGTTAGCCAGCCAGTTGCCCAAATGCCATTTCCTGCCGCCACCGCCACCGCCACCGCCACCGCCGCCACCGTCCGCAGGCAAAATATTTAAATTATTATTTTCGGCTCTGCCGAAGAAAGGCAAATTTGATTAGGAAAATAAATGCTACCCGGGGGACTTAACATGCCATTCCAATTTGAGCCAATTTACCCGAACTTGTCCTCCACAGATACACTTTCACCTGAGCCGTTTGAAGATCCGAAATCGGTAGGCCTTCGAAATAAAAATGGATATGAAACGATGTCGGGGATGCTGAGCTGCAGATGATGCATTTTCTTGTTAATTAGTTGCAGTCTGTTTATGGTGCGTAATTTATGGCATCTGCTCTGGGTTCCACAGGCAGCACTGCGGAAAAAGCAAGTCATATGGCTCAATAATTTAAAATATATTTTTATACACTATAGGGACAAGTGTAACAATATTGGGAAAAAATATAAAATAAAAAAAAAATAAAAATTAAAAAATAAAGAATAAATATTAAAAATAATTAATAAAATAGTAAAACATATTTCACTGTATTATGACTTACTTAATCTCTGTAAGAAATAATACACAGCTGGGCTTCCTTTGTAAATAAGATTGCATTACTGTTCCCCGAGATACAAAAATAATCCTAATTAGCTATCATTTCTCCAAGTGTAGTTAATTATCCACGAATTTCCTTGTGTGTAAAGTTCAGGGAGGCGTGAGGTCATCGCCTGCCTCTGACTCCGGCTGTCTTGTGTCTGGAAATTCAATATAATTCACATTCAATTTCCATTTCCAATCTGCAACCGCGACCCCGAGGCACATGTGTGTGTGTCGCATCCCAGATGCCGTCAGATGCAGTTGCTCCTCCTCCACTCCCGTTTTTTTCCTGCCACATGTAGTAATCAACCCCTTGTGAGGGGGGCGGGGAGGCTGCATGGTGTGCTGCCCCTGTAAACAAAACATTCATCAAAATTTTATACACTCAACATGTGCCACGCCTGGCTGCAGTTCTCCCACTCCGGAATTTGGCCGCAGGCTGACAATATTGTTTGTGTGCTCGGCTGCCCGTTTCGATTTTGAATGTTCTTTGAAAAATCACAACTAATTAACTTAGCCCACAGCTCAGAATTACGTGGGAGTGGGAGTGGGAGTGGGGTTTTCCTTGTTTTCAGGGAAAATGCTTCTGGCTTCTGGCCTTTGGCATTGGGAAGCGTTTTTGTGTGTGGCCTGGTCCTGGCGGCCAGATGTCGATTGCGATGATCTGTAGTGAGCTGGCCCCCAAAAGCAGTTTATAAATAGAAAACGTGTTCGGGCTGAGGTAGTGCACTCCACATCCGGTGGCTTGATAAGAAATCTCCGCTAAATGAGGCCCATCAGCGACAGAGGTGAGTTGCAGCGGGATTTACGGATTTGGGGGAGCGATGTGGCACCCATAAAATGTTGAACTTTATCTTGAAGTTCGTCGGGCTGTAAAATATCTCTAGTTTTTATTGTGTGCCCTCATATGTCTAACACGATCTGGGTGCCAAGTGCCATTGTATCCCTATAATGGATACAAAATCCTTTCTCTGCCACAAAATTGTATGAACTTTCAGGTGGAGGTAATGAAATATTTGTCTATGGAGTCGTCCCAAACTGCAGTCGTATTGTCTTGACGTACTTTTTTCAATCTGCACAACTCCGAGTTTGGTATCTCCTTGCAGCATCATTCCATTTTCTTAGCTTATTTCGAGAAGCAAACTTTCGTTAATTGCAACAATCGTGGCCGGGCTGAGAAAAAGTTCATAAAAATGAGTAATTTTGAGCAGCGCTCGTTTGCATTCCGCGTCTGTGATTGAGGCTTCTGGCAGAGCTGATTGTTTCCTGGCGACTGCCTCCATTGTGCGCCAACTTCTGGGCAACTGTCGATGAGCGGGTAAATTGTTGGCAACTTCGGATGCCCCGGAAAATCCCATCCGACCAACCAACCAACCAGCCAGCCAACCAGCCAACCAACCAGCAGGTGGCGGAGACAATGCTGAATGGAGGTATTTATTAAAACAAACTTGGGGCGAGTGCAGAGGCAGCGACAATGGCATCCTCGTTTGGCCTTGGGCGAAAGTTTAGCGCAGCCTAGCAGCTGGGGAGTTTCCAGGATGCAAGTTGGCAGGCGCATAAATGTCACTTACGCGCTTCTTGACGCCACCAAGCAACCAGGCCACCCACCCGTTGTGCTCCGCTCCAGTCAGCTATTGGGGGAATTGCGAAAGTGACAATTTCGACGGGAGTCGGATGGAGCGAGTCCTGTGGGACAGGAGACAGGAGTCCTTGGCGAGGCGTCTGGCCAAAGTGTAAGTGCAAATTCAGTTTGGTTTAATTTCGACAGGCTGCGGTCGTGGTCGTGGTGCATGCCCGTTTTCCATTCTCCATTGACCAAAAGCTGTCACCATCGTCCTGCCGCTTGAGAGTCCTGCTGCAGGACGAGGATCTTTATTAAGTTTTTCGCTTACTTCTCGACAAGTGCGATGGAAAGTTTTCTGGAGCGGCAAGTTTTCCCTCAAAGCAACGTTTTCAATGTTTTTCTAGATTTCGGCTTTTGTTTCTGGTGCAGATTTCATCTAGCCATCCTTAGGCGAAAACTTTCTCTCTGCGAAGTGTTCTCTGCAAATTTGTTGTCTATCGTATTGACGAAGAAAAAAGTGATTCGCAAAAAGTTTGCATTGGCAGAAAATTAATATTTTGCAAATATTTGACAAACTTTTACCCCTTTCAAAATGCTAAGTAAAAAAATTATTTGCGGATTCCATTGATTTCGTGTTATTCCTCTTGCTATGTTTGTGGCCAAGGAAATTGAAAAAACTTTTTAGTGACAGCCAGTTAAAGTTTACGCTAAATTGTCGAGGTCAGTGACAAATAAGTGTGCTGTGTTCACTGGCGTAAGCCTAAAAATATACCAATTTATGGGAATTTAAAAATATGTATTAAACCCATGGGACAGGATGCTTCAATGCTCTTGAGTTATTGCTCGGAATCGGATGACAGAATCTGCCTCTCCCTGCTTGCCAAACACTTTTCGAATAGCTGCTCCATGTCCTTGTGCATTTCTTCACATCCCATTGGTAAATATTCAATATTTTGGTATTTATCTTGTCGGACAATAAAATAAAGCAAAACTCGCATGCAGTGTGGAATTGCAGGGGAGTTGGAATGCAAGGGCGTAGTCCAACTGGGTCACTAAGGTCCTCCAGTTGCTGTTCTAGTTCCTTGGTGCATGCCACGGGAATTTACATGTTCGAATTCTCTTTAAGCATTTTGTAAGCCGGTTTGCTCTTGGCCATTGGAAAACAACGTAAGCCGCTTGCAACCCTATTTTTGCCAACTCCTTTGAAGCGGCATACTATTGCACTCAAATAAATCCTTTGCAAATTTGTAATATCGTTATGTAGGAAGCAATACCAGAGCAATGCGGAAAACAGAAGTCCAAATAAAAGTATTGCTACTTTAAAGCGTTCTTAAGACAACAACTGCAATAAAGTTATTGTGCCTTTATGCAACTCATTTTGCTCGGTGTCACTGTCATTTCTCAGCTGTCGTTTGTACATAAAACGAAAAATATATTTTTCTACAAAATTATTGTAATTAAAAATGCAAGCGGACGAATGCCAGGAAGTCATAGACCGCAATTTGCCGCAGCTGGTAAGATTGCTGCTGGAATCTCCAATCGATGGCAAGAAAAATTACAGTGACCCCGAGGTTAAGGTGGACTCCGACACCATCGAGAAATGTCTCGCCTATGCCAGGCATCACGTAGCGGATCCTAATGTTATGGATTGCCAGCCGGATGCGGTGTGGGTTACCATGAACCACTTTTTGGAACGCTATCGCTGCGAACGCATAGCTGAATTCGGGGATACCTTCAACCAGCTGGCCAATGTGGTACTGAATCATCCAATCTGTGTGAACCACAAGCAGCCGAACCTCCACTGGCGCCTCATAGACTTCGTGCTCTCCGTGAACTACAAGGCCTTTCACTCCGTCCGTCGCAACTTCCAAGAAATGGAGCAGAAGCGAAAGAACATCCTGGATGCCCTGACCGTGGCCATCAAGAGTTCGCAGCTCGTTCCCAAGGATGCAAAAAAATGTGCTTCCCATACTAAATCCATAGGTGAGGCCACGAAACCAACTGCTGAAGTTAAGCTCAACCACAAGAAAAAGCAGAAGCCCAAGAGTCTGAGGGCAAAGGCTACTTCAGATCACATCCAGCGCCTCTGTGATGAAATAGAGGAACTAAGTTCCCCGGGTAATATGTACTTGGAAATGGTGCGACCACAGATTCCAAAGGAACGCCCTACAGCACTGGACATCTCGGACGGCAGTTACTCTTTGGAACACAGCCTAAATCAGGTGGAAGTAAATGAAAAGTTCGCCTTGAAGGAAGCCAAGATGGAGCTAAAATTAAATCTTGTCCAGAATGAGCCCTTCGCAGAAAAACCCGCCGTAATTGACTACTTTAAAAACGAAAGTGATATGCTCTACCGCATTCAGACGACCTGGTGGCAGGTGGATGTTAGTGTCTGCAAGCAGCCCGGAAATCTGGTCAGCAGTTTCCACCAAGGATATGCAGACTTTTTGATTTTTCAGCTCCGGGAAAGTCAAACCTCGATACGAAAGATGAGCGAGGAGTACCTGCTGCTAAGCGAACTGATTGTCCTATTCTTTGCATCCGCCAATTGTGGAAACTTTACAATACTGAATGACAATTGGGAGTTGCGGACTGATGAGCTTAAACATTTACAAGAAGGTCCTTTTCTGGGCGAGATTATAAGCTCCATAAAACACATGCGTCATCTAAGGGAGTTTATTGAGACGCATGCGTATAAGAGAATAATGTGTGATCGCTTGGAGACCTTTAAGTTTTTCAGTGTAGCACTGAAACAACTTCTTCGACCTGTGATGGAGTTCCTGGTTCATTTCGAGAGGCGTTTAACAAAGGGCATTGAACCTGCCACCCTGCAGCACTTTATAGAGACATCAAGAAGTCCTTTGGAAAGGATCAAGTTGCTCTATAAGCTCTCCCAGAACAATAAGGAAGAACTACCTTTTATGCGAAGTCTAAGAACTTTGGATACCCTTTTTACCAATACTTTTAGGAATATTCAACCCAAATTGCTGCGATCCTTGAGCGCATCCTTACTTCTGCACGCCTTGCAGGCCTATTGCCAGTTTCTGGACAACTGGTGGTCCACGGGAGACTTCGCAGACTGTCACGAGGAGTTTCTCTTCGAAAGGATTTTGGTCAACGGACAAACGGAGTATGTCTTAAGAAAATCTGCGATCCAAACAGAAGAACTCCTGAAATGGGAATTCTTTGACATTATTCAGGGGCATGTCCTTGACTCCAGTGAGGCAGTGGCCGTTCTCCACGATGCCAAAACCATAGGTGACTTCAACACTCTGCATGGCATCGTGCAACAGATACCTCTACACAGTTTATTAATAGATGGGGTACTAAAGGAACTAGCGCCTTATCAGATTAAAATAATAAAGGACAGTACCTATGTTCCAGACATACTGCAGCAGCTGCAGTCTACTGATCACGATGCACTTCGTCGGCTATTTTACTCCTTCCACATGGAAACTCGACCAGATCCGCGACAGCCAGCGGGTCATTCGATTGACGAGTTGCTAAAGAACTTCCTTGCCTGCGCTGACTACACTCCCGTATCGGAAATCATCACCCAGGAACTTAAAAGGTTGCTGCATCGAAGGACTAGATTGGCCAAATCCTATATCTGTGGCCTGGTGCAAGAGTTTCAAGTGGAGAGAGTAGTAAGACACCTACGATCCGTGTTTCTACTCTGGAACTATGACCAGTTTCTAAGTGAGTTTGAGTTGTTCTTTGAGAGCCTCAGAAGGAATCAGCTTATGGTGGCCTCCTATAAACTGGAGCAAATCGTGGTATCCCAAGATTTCAGTCTGGGTCATATGTTTAAGGTGCGTTTGACCGACGCCCATCCTGATTTTATCTGCCTCAAGGTCAGGTATGATCCACTACTGAAGCGTGTAATCAGCCAGGAGCAAATTGAGACAATGAATTCCTGCTTTCGACTTATTTTAAATCTGAACTTCTCGCTCTACCGGTTACATAATTTACCCCCCTTAGATTACTCCAAGCATAAGCGATTGCTTGACGCCCTGAGATCAATCCAGACTTCCCTTATCTTCGTCCTCGAGGAGCAGCTATCGCATCCTTGTAAACTCTTCCGAATAATGCAGGATCTTCATTCCTACAACTCTGAATTGGACGAATACACTTCCTTGGGCGAACTTAGACGCAATCAGGAATTGTTTGTGTTGCACATGCAGAAGTATTTGCGGGAGGAGCAATTCGCTTGCAGCTTGCCCGAGATCCTTAAGCTGAGCAGAGTTTTTTGGCATCGATGGGAGAGAACCAGAGTCCTTATAGACGAATATCGCAGCCTGAAGGCCACTAATATATTTGAAGGAAAGTACGAATTGCTGCGCTTGAACTACCTGCTGGAAACTCTCAAGAAATGCAAGGCGATTGGCTGTTTCCTTGGCCATATTTAATGTTCCATGTTCATTTGCATGTCTGTCTTTCTGCTTTTATTGAATGTAATCTAAGTATTTGTGTTTTTCCTAAATTTTTGTTAGGTGGGTTTGAAATAAAGTGTTGTAAATTGTTTGTAGAAAATCAGTTTTACAATATACTGCTTATGATACTTGTACATAATGTGTATATTCGTAGAGTAAAAGGGTATACTAGATTCGTTGAGAAGTAAAAGAGAATAAAGAAATGCCCCAAAGCTGAAGTTCTACACTCCATAACTCAACTTATCTTAATCGGATTTTGAAGTGGCATACCTCTAAATGTTTCTGGCGCAATTCTCTAAAAATCTGCATTCAAATTTAAAAATTTATTTTTTTTTTTAAATTTTTGTCATTTTTCTGATGTGATGATGTTGTAGAAACTCAAAAGAATAAAGAAATGCCCCAAAGCTGAAATTGTAAACTCCATAACTCAACTTATCTTAATCGGATTCTGAAGTGGCATACCTCTAAATGTTTCTGGAGCAATTCTCTAAAAATCTGCATTCAAATTTAAAAATTTATTTTTTTAAAAAAATTTTGTCATTTTTCTTGTTATGATGTTGTAGAAATTCGAAAGAATGAAGAAATGCCCCAAAGCTGATGTTCTACACTCCATAACTCAACTTATCTTAATCGGATTTTGAAGTGGCATACCTCTAAATGTTTCTGGAGCAATTCTCTAAAAATCTGCATTCAAATTTAAAAATTTATTTTTTTTTTAAATTTTTGTCATTTTTCTGATGTGATGATGTTGTAGAAACTCAAAAGAATAAAGAAATGCCCCAAAGCTGAAATTGTAAACTCCATAACTCAACTTATCTTAATCGGATTCTGAAGTGGCATACCTCTAAATGTTTCTGGAGCAATTCTCTAAAAATCTGCATTCAAATTTAAAAATTTAATTTTTTAAAAAAATTTTTGTCATTTTTCTTGTTATGATGTTGTAGAAATTCGAAAGAATGAAGAAATGCCCCAAAGCTGATGTTCTACACTCCATAACTCAACTTATCTTAATCGGATTTTGAAGTGGCATACTTCTAAATGTTTCTGGAGCAATTCTCTAAAAATCTGCATTCAAATTTAAAAATTTATTTTTTTTTTAAATTTTTTTCATTTTTCTGATGTGATGTAGAAATTCGAAAGAATAAAGAAATGCCCCAAAGCTGATGTTCTAAACTCCATAACTCAACTTATCTTAATCGGATTTTGAAGTGGCATACCTCTAAATGTTTCTGGAGCAATTCTCTAAAAATCTGCATTCAAATTAAAAAATTTTTTTTTTTTTAAATTTTTGTCATTTTTCTGATGTGATGATGTTGTGGAAACTCAAAAGAATAAAGAAATGCCCCAAAGCTGAAATTGTAAACTCCATAACTCAACGTATCTTAATCGGATTTTGAAGTGGCATACCTCTAAATGTTTCTGGAGCAATTCTCTAAAAATCTGCATTCAAATTTAAAAATTTATTTTTTTAAAAAAATTTTGTCATTTTTCTTGTTATGATGTTGTAGAAATTCGAAAGAATGAAGAATTGCCCCAAAGCTGATGTTCTACACTCCATAACTCAACTTATCTTAATCGGATTTTGAAGTGGCATACCTCTAAATGTTTCTGGAGCAATTCTCTAAAAATCTGCATTCAAATTTAAAAATTTTTTTTTTTTTTAAATATTTGTCATTTTTCTGATGTGATGATGTTGTGGAAACTCAAAAGAATAAAGAAATGCCCCAAAGCTGAAATTGTAAACTCCATAACTCAACGTATCTTAATCGGATTCTGAAGTGGCATACCTCTAAATGTTTCTGGCGCAATTCTCTAAAAATCTGCATTCAAATTTAAAAATTTATTTTTTTAAAAAAATTTTGTAATTTTTCTTGTTATGATGTTGTAGAAATTCGAAAGAATAAAGAAATGCCCCAAAGCTGAAGTTCTACACTCCATAACTCAACTTATCTTAATCGGATTTTGAAGTGGCATACCTCTAAATGTTTCTGGCGCAATTCTCTAAAAATCTGCATTCAAATTTAAAAATTTATTTTATTAAAAAAATTTTGTCATTTTTCTTATGTTATGATGTTGTAGAAATTCGAAAGAATGACGAAATGCCCCAAAGCTGATGTTCTACACTCCAAAACTCAACGTATCTTAATCGGATTCTGAAGTGGCATACCTCTAAATGTTTCTGGCGCAATTCTCCAAAAATGTTGAAAATTTTATCTTTTATCTTGTTATTATTGTAATATAATGGAAAAGCCTGTAGATGTTGTTTATCTTGAACATATGCTCTTATTTGACAGTATTTATCTGGAAATTCTGGCTTAATCGTTTGTTTGTTGCGTACGCGTACCTATTATTTTTAAACTGCCAGCCCGTCCGCAAATAAGTTTTATCAATTTTCAATGGAAAATCGAGTGTGCGTCGCCTGTGACAGAAACCGCAAATTAAATCGTTTGGGTGCCGGGCAAAATTTATTTCTAGCGCGTGGCAAAAGCCACAAGTTCCACACGCACTGAACACACATGCTATAGGATCCTTTTCCGCCCAAAAAAAGCGGACAAAAAATAATCGTGAAAAATTAGAGCAGGCTATATGTGGCCATGCCAAATCCAAAGCCAAATCAGAGCCAGCAACCGAAATTATTCTGTGGATTTTGCGGCCTCAGCGGTGGGACAGTGTCGATGGGCGGTGGGCGGTGGGCGGTGGGTGGTTCGGTGGTGCAGTGGTGCGGTGCAGCCGGTGGACACACGTTCACACCCTGGCCCATAAATTGCAGCGACGCCTTGCTGGCCAATAAATACTAAAGCACTGAAGTCTTGATATGCAGCGGCGCCAAGTGCCATAAAGTTTGTGCTGGACAAGGGGAATGGCTAATTAAAGTTTGCGCCGCATTTTCAAATTAAAAATTGGTAATTTGTGTACAGTTTCCAGCTCCAGCTCCAGTCGTGTCGTTTTTTATGTGTTTTTATTGCGTGGGCGGCGATCTCGTGGGTTTATGCCCCACCTGAAATCTGAATGGGGCAGACTCCGGAGATGTCGTAAAATCTGCGCCATAGAGGGACAGGTTTATGTGCGGAACTAGACGGTTTATGGTCTGGCATTTATTTTTTCTCATTATCTCGTTTGGTCAGACGAAAAACGCACCATAAATTTGTCATTCGAGTGCAGCACTTGAAGGGGATTTCCGTCACTGACTTGTGCTCTTTAGCATATTTAATGAATAATGCAGAACATCAGCCACTTATATTTCGTTTTTTAATCTCCTCTGGAAGTCACATGCAAACATTTTTCATTTTCAGTGAAATATTTTCATTTACTTTGGCGGCCACACATTGAAACCACTGCAACCGCATTTGAAAAACATTTTAAATACCTTTTACATTTCTAACATTTGTTTTTATTTGGCCATTTCGCATTTCACATTTCCCATTTTCCATTCACATTTTCCATTTCTGGCAGCGGAAATGTTTGTATGATTTTCGTGCGGGTCTAACTTAGCAGAGCTTTATTTCATTTCGATTCCAATTTCACAGAGACTCTGTTTCTGTTTCTGTTTCGGCTCGATTTCAAATTTTTCAATTTAGTGGCATTTCGCTCTTTGGTGGCATTTATTTAATAACAGAAATTCTAATTACATTTTTTATTATTTACCCTTTGAGTTAGTTTTTCCGCCCGATCGCACGCTATATTGATTTCGCTATTTGTGTTTCTGTTTGTGTTTGCTTTTGGGTATAGAAAAGTGCTGTCCCAGTCGCTTCGACTCTGATTTAATGATTTTCTCACAGCCCTGCTAGAGTAAATAGTAAATATTTACTTATTTGCTATTGGCACCCCTGCCAAAAATAAAAAGGAAAGGTACAAAACTGAAAATCCCTCTGCCCGTGCCACTTTTCAATAAAACAATCAACTGTCACAAAAAACATCAACAAAGAGGCAATTTTTGAGCGTCCTATTGGATCGGGTGTTTGTCACAGGACCACCAAAGTTGATTTGCATGTCATTAACACAAATCGAATGGCGCTGCAGGCGGCTGAAAATAGATGAGGGTCGGGGTTCAGCGGCTGTTCAACCCTGTAAACAAGCCGGCACTAAAAATATCACATGTCATCTAAGGATGAGACGGAACCGGAGGCGACTAATTAGTGCCTACAGCAAAGGGAATCCCACAATATTGTGTGGGCGAAACGCAGTCAATATTGATGTGGCAGCCCAAGCAAAATGAGCCCTTAGACTGCAGATATTTTCCCATGAAAATCTACTGAATTATTAGTCTTTGTGGCCCTGCCACATGGGAATTTCTCGGGAGAAGTATCTCAGAGCGAAGCAGAACTTGAACATGCTTCAGTTCGCCAGGCCCAAGCAATCCGAATAGAATCAAAGGCTCGACAACAGGTGCCAAACATTTCGATTTTTGAAGCATGTGCATTTTGTTGTCCCCTTTTTTCAGGCTGGCCTGGGAAATGTAAACAAAACCTGTGCAGATTGGGGAAATAAGTGTAACTAAGCTTTAATGGCCATGGTAACCGCCCCATCCGCATTCACTAGCTGCATCCTGCAATTTCTTGTGGTCCATGGAATGCCAAAAGTGCAGGGGGCGGAGTTGGTGAGCCAACAGTCGGCAATGGATGTGGTTCAAGTCCCAACAAAATTATTAATATGACTTTAGAGAGCGGGATCCACTGCAGCTCTAATACTGCTGAATACACCCCCTGCGGTTTCCAAGACAGCCGACGATGTATCTGCCGGATGCGTTTTCACTCCTCTCCCAGCCAGTTTGGGCCCAAATTATGCCTAGGCTTTGCCAACTGCTCGACGAAAAATTATCTGAAGTGCAGAGAGCCAAATTTGTAATTTACTCGATTTAAGCCAGACTGAAAAAGGAAAAAGACACAGAAGAATTTTTATTATACAGACTCAAACTATGGGAAACATTTATCTTAAAGATACAGTAGAACGTAGAGTGTATTTCCTATTTCCTTTGT